TTTTCAATTGAATTTGTTGTGTTAATTCCTTTTCTTCTTATTTCTTCAAGACACTTTTTTGCTTCTTCTTTCATTTCTTCTACTTCATTAATCACATCTTTTCCTATTCCTTCTACTCCACTTGATGCACCCAATAAACAAATCATTATTCGATTCTCATACATTTCTTCATATTCTTTATTAGTTTTACTTAGAATATCATATAAATAACAACAATATAAACATTCTTCATGTAATTTTCTACTATAACTTTCTTTACTTCTATTATTTAAATATGCTAAACACCATTCTATTTCTGCTTTTTCATCTCCAATGACTTCTTCTTTATTCTCTTTGACCATTTTAATGAATCTTTTAATGATATCAACTTCACATCTGTTCTTCATTATTTGTCGAAATACAATAATTCCTGTTCCTTTCATACTTTCTCCTGGAAGACATTCAAATAGTTTTCTCAAACATTCATCTTCTATTTCTTTTTCTTTCATTTCTTCACAAATAGTACAACATGTTTCAAGAAATTCAATTTTATGTTGATTTGAACTATTCTTATTAATTGCTTTCTCAATAACATCTTTTCCTTCATTTTTCATATGCAAATGAAGATATGATGAAAATAAAATAAAATCAGCTTGAAGATCATTACATCCACTTTCTATTGCTTCTTGTGCCCTTTTCATTGCTTCATGATAATTATTCATTTGATATTCACAAATACTGATATTTTTATTTATTTCTCCAATTTCATCATTACATCGACTAATTTCCATAATTTCTCTTACTTTCTTAAACCATTCTTTTCCTGTTCGTTCATTCTTATTTAAACAATCATTGATTCCTCTTTCCCATATAATAGATATAATTGAATAAATTTCTTTCTCTATAATTTCAATTTTATTGTTTTGGATACTATCTATTAGATTATCAATAACATTTTGTGCTGTTACCATATTAATTCTTTTCATTTTAAATAAGAATTCAATATACTTTTTGTTGACTTTGTAATATGTTCTTGTTTCTATGTTTTCTTTTCTCATTATGCTTGTCATAATACTTTCATACCCAAACATTATTATTTCACTCATTCCTTTCTCTTCAATAATATCACACATTTTTATTTTTCCATCATTACTAATATTTCCCATTGTGATATTTCTTTTGAATACTTGAATAATTTCATCATCTTCTCTTGTTTTAATCATACATTTAAGTCTAATTATCTCATTTTCTTCATTACTTTCTTCTTCAATACTTTTCTCAATAGTCTTCATTGCTTCTTCATTCATTCCAAGTTCAAGATAACTTCTACTAATAATTGAAAATGCCTCACTATTATGTTCTTTCTTATTTCCTTTCATCATAAGATATTCTTTCATCCAATCAATTGTTCCTTGATATGCTCCTATTTCAAATAATTCTTTTGCTTTCTTAAATATCATTGTTTTAATTTCTTCATTACTTTCATCTAAACTTTCAATAATCTCTTTGAGTTTATGATAATATATCCATGCTGTTTCAATTTCTCCATTATTCCATGATGAAATCATTCCTAATGTAAATAAATATTTTCCACATCTTTTTCTTTCTATTTGTTGTGTATTCGTGTTAATAGTTCGTTCTGTTTCATTGTATTTATCAATTGCTTTTCTATACATCTTCTTTGATTTCTCAATTTCTCCTTTCTCTTCTTTACATTTCGCTGTTTTCCCAATCATTTTAATGAGTGTAAAGTCATTTTCTACTTGATATTTCTCTACTAATAAACATGCTAATTCTCTCATTTCACTTTGTTTAGTTATATCACACTGTTTTCTAACTACAAAATTCCATAGTTCATTTCCTTCTTGTCGAAGTTCTTTGAGTGTATTTTCATCAGTTTGTTTAATATCAATACTTTCAATATGTATTCGAAGTTCTTTGATTGTTTCTTCATCAACTGTTTGATGAAGTCTTCCAATGATCTCTTTAATTTCATTCATTATGTTTTGTTATTTCTTTTATCTTCTTATCACTTTCTATTCATTTTCTCTTTCCTTAACCATCTAACTTTCCTTTTTTTTTAAAGTTTCAATTATCTTAATCAACTTCTTCATTCATTTTCCCATGTTTTCTAATTACCATGTGGATTCCATGTTGTGCAATAGGTGTTCCTTCCATCATTCTGATTGAGTTGACTATTTGGTTATTCTTGTTCTCCAATCCTTTCCAGATTGAAAGACATTGTGTTTTGTCATTATCACCAATTCCATTGATTAACATCACCACTTTAGTCAATACTCCATAGGTATATGCCTGTTCTCCTATCTCGTTCATATGGTCATTTCCTTTGTTTTGTTTCTCACTGAGCACTCTTAACACTTCTGATAGTATCATCACTTCTTCTTCTCTCAGCTCTTTTGCCTTAATTTTACTTTCAATTGTCCCAATAACTGTGTCCTTCTCATCAGGAAACATGTCTAATCTTAACAATATTACATCACTCAAATCCTCATTCCATTGTATCATTTTATCACTCACCTCTCTCATTACTTCTTTCTCATCACACAGGTATGACATGTTCATTAATGCTTTTCTACTCTGTAATGCCGTGTCTCGTTTAGCAATAGCCCTCCATTTTTTTGCATTTTCAAATGCCTTTTGATATTCCTTCTTCTCACAATAACACATCACAATCATTTGATAAATTGCTCCATCCTCTTTTTCTATCTTGTTCAATACTTCTATTGCATCATCGTATCGTGCTTCAAAATAATAGTCTTGTGCTTTACTGATCATTTCATCTTCATCACACTCATCACATTCATCAATGTCATTATTATAATAATTAATCCGTTCAGTGTTGTTGCAGTTCATTTGTAAATAACAGTATTTCTTCTTTTGTTTTTAAGTTTATTAATGTTATGTATAACATAATAAGAAAAGAAGAATGAACAACATATTTTGATATATCAATTCTATAACATTGGATATTTATAAAAACAAAGAAGACAATGTTAAATGAATAATGTTAATATTATAATAAATAAATAGTCGAATGATTAGTGAAAATAATAATAGATAGAAACAATAATAACATCAACTGATTAATAATATATTAAAATTTAATCAAATGAACAATAATTTATATAAATCTAGAATAATTTAAATAAATTTGGTATCAAATAAAGAGAATAATAAACATAGAAACAATGGTTAAATAGTGTTTTTTTAAATAAAAATACAAATGAAATAATTTAATAATATGTCGTATTATTTATTGAATAAATTCTTCTAAATACTAATTTGTTAAAACGAAATTAGAACCACTACTTAGTTCAATAAAATATTTAAAAAGAATGAACAAAATAGAATATTGGTTTTAAAGTATATGTTCACAAAATAAACGTAATAAATAAATTAAATCTTTTGTTTAAAGGAAAGGGAAAAAATTGGTTTCGATTAGAGTACTTGTGATATTATTGAACGAAATTTCAATAATTCTGTTATGATTGTAATAAGTATTACCATAAAGAGAATTACGTTTTTGTGTTTCAACAAAGCTAAAACTAAATATTAATAATTATACTACCATAAAAATTAATAATTAATAGACTTATTTATAGAGAATTAGAAAAGAGAGTTTACATAAAACGATAAAATATATAATAAAAAGAATGAAAATTACATCAAATCGTCATTAGATTGGTCTTGAATAGTTTGAGTGATAGATTCAATTTTTGGAGTGATAGAAAGAATTGTTTTCTCTAAATTATTAAAAGCAGTAATAAACTGACCATAGAATGGATTATTTGGGAAGTTTCTAAGATGGATTGGTAGAGCTATTGCAATGCACTTCATCATATTTGTTATTAATTCCCATAATTCCATAATTTGTTCTGTTACAAAATTATTAACTTTTTGAACTAAGAAAACATCAACTATTTTAGCTGGACCATTTTCACCTAAAAGTAATTGTTTTAAAGAAGTTGTTAATTCTTCTGTTATTGGATGAACACAAGCATTTTGAAGTTTTTCAGTTAGAATATCAATATTATCCATACAAGTTTCTATTGGTGATAAATAACTATCTTTTAGTTTAGATTCTATTTGTTGTCTTCTCAAAACTGAAGGAAGTGGTTGTTTAGTACAATAAATAATTTTTCTTTTTGATGTTTCGTCAATACCACCATTTCCTTCTTTTCTTAAAAATTCATACGCAAAAGTGTTTGTAGTAAAATCATTATCATTTTCAAATACTGGATGAACTTCAGTGATTCTAATATGAATTTCTTCTAATGGTAATCCAACTGAACATTGACCCTCTTTTAATTCTTGAACTTCATTCTTTCTTCCAATAGGAACAATAGCTTTAATTTCTTGAGAAAAAACATCATACGTTTCATGAGTTTGATAAATAAATTCTTTTTCATTTAGTTTATCAAATGTGTTTCCATAAAAACCAACTAAATAGAAATGTTTTTGACCTTCTTCATGTTTATCTTTCATTGAATAGATAACTGTTAATTTTTTATGATATTCATCAAGTTTTTTATATTCTTTTCTTTTATTTAAATATTCAATAACAGCAAGAAGTAATGCTTCAGCTAAATCACAAATCTTTTTAATACTGAAATACTTATATGCTAAATTGACATGACTAAAAAGAACTTGTTCTGTACAACCTTCAACTTCTTCTCCTCGTTTATTTTTCATTAAATCTCTTATTTCTGTAATTTTATTTAATGAATTAAAAGCTTCCCCTCCTTCTAAGAAAGAAGCAATAAAACAAATCATATGAACTTCACAAAGTCCAGCTTCAATATAATGTTGTCTAACGCTTTGTTCTTCAGCAATCTTTTCAAACCATTTCAAATGAAGTCTTGGAGTATCAAGATATCCATGTGCAAAAGTGAAAGATCTATCACAATAAGCATCTGGATCACGAGTAGATTCTTTAATTTTCTTTAAATCATTCAATTTAACAAGAATTTGAGTTATATCTTTTTGTAATTTCCTCATGACTGATTTGTATTGAGATAATCTATACAAATTAACATCAATAAATGCATCTTCAACAAATTGACATTTTTCATCAATAAAATCTTGTACAACTGCCATTTCTGTAACAGGACCACTAATGGCAATAGTACTTTTTGATTTATGATATTGTTTTTTTACTTGTTTAGAAGTTTTTGTATTCTGTCGTTCTCTTCCTACAACCAAATCTTCTGCAGTTACAAATCCAGAAGTTGAACTTCTTTTATTACTTGAAGATTTAGATGAAGAAGTATTTTCATGTTTTTGAGAATTAGGTGTTAAATTAATTTCACTCTGTCCTCTTGTTAATAGTGATAATGAAATGGGTGATTTTGGTTCATCTTCATCTTCAAATAATTCAACAGAATCATCATAATCAATAACTTCATCTATTTCTTCATTTAAAAATTTCTTTAATTCATTCCAACTTCCTCTTCCTTGATTTTTATATTGATTCCATAATTCAATAGCTTCTTTTCTTAGTTCAATTTTTCCTTTTTCTTTTTCATCAACAAGTATCCATTTTTCAGTAATAATAACAACTTTCTTTTCAATTCTTTTAATTTCTTTTTCCATCTCATCCATCATTTTTCCAATAATTTGATTTTCTCCTTCAACACAACCAAAAACATTTATTTTTTCTTCTTCTTCATTTGTACCATTTATTAATTTCATTTGTCTATCTTGAATCATTAATGATTTTCTTGTAGTTTTTCTTCTTCCTACTGTTTTTGTTTGTGATAACCTTTCTTCATTTAAAATAGTATTTAATTGTTTTCTTCTTAATGTTAAATTTTCAAATGTTGATGAAAGTTTTGTTCCATCTTTTTTAATGATTTCTGCAAGTTTACACATAAAAGGTGTAACAGCTCCATTTTCGTGAATAGGAATTTGAGCAACATATTTAATAGTTTTAACTTGTTCTTTAAGCATTAAACAATCAGTGATATATGATCGTTCTAACTTAAACCATTCTTCAGCTTTTTCAAGACGTTGTTGATTATTACAAGCCTTTTCAATAATTTTTTCAACTTTACTTAATGTGGTAATAATCAATGGAAGAACATCTTCAAAAAATTCAAAAGGAATACAAAAAGTTCCTTTTAATGATTTATCACGTTCAATTACTTGAGGGACAGTTAATTCTTTTAATTGATCTGAACAAATCCCAGTAGTACTTTCATCTAATCCAAAAATAATTTCTTCAAGTGTTTCTTGTAATATTTGAATATTTGAAGCATTTTCTTGGTTTATTTTTTGTTCTTGTTCTTGATATTTCTTTTTATTATCAATTATTTTTTTAATCATTTCTGAATATTTTATTTGAACATGATTTGCTCCATTAATAATTTCATTAAATTCATTAATTCCTACAGGGAATAATGGATTATTTTCAATCACTTTTAAAGAGTTTTTATATTGTTGAATAAGTTCTTCTGATTGTTTATTACAAATTTCAGTTTTAGATTGACTAATAATATAATTTTTATTTAAATCAGGTTCATTTTGAATGACTCCTTTTATAGTAAGTAATGCCCATATTATTCCTTTTGCACATTGGTCTCTAATTTTAATACAAAGTTCATTGACTTCATTTTCAGTTATTTTATTTGTTTGAGAAATATTAACCATTTCTGTTTCTAAACTTTTCATTTCATTCCATTTATTTTTCATAATATCAACTGTTTTATTTACTTGTTCACTAACATTTAAATCACTATATTTTTTCATTATTTTTTCAACAATTTCAACCATTTCTTGAGTAATAAAAAAAGGTTTTTCTAATATTTCTTCTATCATTTTTGAATATCCATTAACAGGTGTTGATGGTAATTCTTTTAATATTTTAAGATGATGTATTCTTAATTCAATCATTTGTTTAAGTAAAATAACAAATGCTTCAATATCTCCTAATGACTCTGTTCTAATTATTGTTTTTCTTGCTTTTAATGAATTAATATTAGGAATAAGTAAATTTCTTTTAATTTGATTAACTGATAAAGTAGTATTTTCAACATCAGCAATATGTGTTGTATCAAGTGCTTCAACAGATGCATTAAACCTATCTTCAGCAATATCACCAGCTTCAACAACAGCAGTAGCCATTAATGAAATACTCCTTGATATAGTACTTGTCTCAATAAAATTATTTTTAATATAAAGATATAATAACTCAACTCCTCTTCCTCTTAATTGAGCTGAATTTGATTGAAATAATTTAATCAGTGAACTTAATAACTTTACTGAAAAATCTTCACTTCCAGAAAATATATGAGTTCTGTAATTCATTAATAAATTTTTAACAAATACAAAAACATCATCATTTACAACATGTTCTTCAAATAATTTTGTTGCTATAATTCCCTTTAAATATTCTAATTGTTCAAAAGATTCTTGTTTTAATAAACTATCAAAAATAATACTAAACATATCAAGACACACTTTAACCACTTCAGTACTTAATACTTTATGTAATTTATTATGTGAACTGTCATCAGTTCTCATTGGTCTTAATGATCGAATGACAGGTATTTCAAATTTTTGTTCTGGAATATTTCCCATTAAATCTCCAAAATCCATTCCAGGGATTTTTGGCATTGGAGCCATATAATACATATGTTCTTTTAATCCATTTACAATTAATTTAATATTTCTATCAATTTCTTCATACACATCAATTGTTTCTTGTAATGGAAAGTAACTATACAATAAACAAAACCTTGTCATTATTTTAATTAATGTTTCTAATCTACTTGGAACTTCATTTTCTATCCATTCTTTCAACATTTCTTTATTTAAATTTTTTAATACCCAAATATATAATAATCCTAACATTTCCATATCACTTACATTTTGAATTGGTGTTCCATTATTATTATAAAGTGTTTGAGGAGAAGATCCAATAACTTGACTATTCATCATCCCAGCAATTTCTCCTAATTTAAATGATAAACTTCTTCTTTGTTGTTGATTTTTATTTCCTTCATGTTGTTTAATAAATGGAACAAATTTCCATTTTGTAAAATTTTCAAAATTTTCTAAGAATTGCATAACAAAAGGTAAAAACATTGCAGCTGTAAATTCTTTTTGTTGTCCTTGTAAATTAGTATCCAAATCAAGTCTAGATACAAGTCCAACCATTAAATATAATGAAATTCTGTTTATTTCTTCACTTCTTCCTAATAATAACATATGTTGTCTCATTAAAAATGCAATAGGAAAGTGACGAGTCCATAATAAATCATCTAACATAACAATATCACTAACATCTACATTTCCTGGATTAGATGCTTCATATAAATTTAAACTTCCTTCAAAAACTGCTAAAAATTGTGTTTTAATCATTTCAAGTGCAACCATTTCTGGAGAATCATATTCTAATTTTTTTCCTCTTTTAAGTTGATCATAAGGCCAAGTTAAATGATTAAGATATTCTTCCATTAATTTCATTCCTTCTGCTTTATATCCCATTTCAATAAGAGTTCTTATAAAATATGACATATGTGCATTTCCCTCTTCCATACCTAAAATTTCTTTTTTAATTACATGTCCTCTGATAGTATCTCCAAATGTTTTAATAAAATTTATTGCATTTGACCAAAAATTTTCATCAGCACCAATTTGTTGAATTGATTTTCTTAATAATTCTAATACTAACCAACAATGTTTAAATATTTCTGTTTGTGGAGAAATTTCATCAAATTTATATATTAAGTTGCATGTCTTAATTAAATTAAGTGCAATTTCTTGTGTTTCAAATGAACAATAATGAGTGATATATGTTTCAACTGTTTGATTTCTTTTTTCTGATGAATTACAATGTCCACAAATTGTTTTCATTAATATAAATAAAACATCTTTATTTGGTACCATTTTACTTTCTAAGAAAGATGTTAGAATATGAGGTAAAAAATGAATAATATCAATTAATGGTATTTGATTAAATGTATTATCAATTTTACCATTAAGTAATTTATTAATTGCGTCATGTGCTATTGGACTACTTGGATAAACTGTTGAATAAAGATTAAAAAATACTGTTAAACTTTTTTTATTTTCTTCATCATATTTCATTGCTTGTTCAATACTTGAAGCTAATTGTAATGTAGTTTTTCCTGGTTGAATTGCAATATGTCCATTTTCATATAATTTTACAATACCAAATAATTCTTTTTTTATTGAATTTCCTTCATGAATTTCTTGAACATTAAAAATAAGTTGATAATTTTCATTTAATGGAAATGGTAATTCTAATTTAAATTCATCATTAAATTGTATTTGTTTATTTCCACTTAATGAACTAATACTATTATCTTCAAATGAAATTTTATCAATTTTATAAAATGATTTAACTGGTTTTCCATTATTCATTAATTGTACACTAACAACCATTGGATTTCTTTTTTTTTCTTTACCAAATGAAATTTCTAATGGATAAATATATAATCGATTATAATAATCATATAATAAATCTTCAGTTTGTTTTATCATTAATAAATTATCTAATACAATTGCACTATCTCCTTCATTTCTCTTTCCAAATTTATATTTTCCATTAATTAATTGAATATCAGAATCAAATTCACTAAATTCAAATTGTGCTTTAGCACTTTCTATTTGTTTTTTTCCTTTAAATTGACTTTGATAAATATCCCATATATTTTCATTATCTGTTTCTATTTTATAAAATTGAACTGGTAAATTTCCTTTTTTCTTTTCTAATTCTCCCTTTAATGAAACAAATCCAATCATTAATTGTTGCCAATAATTTCCATATTTTCTTTCTATCATTTTTTTCTTTCCTTTTTTATCTTCAAATCCTTTAGCATATAATTCTCTTGCTTGTATTATATCATCTCCTGATTTTCTTAATACTCGAACTACTAAAACTATATCACTTCCTTTAATTTGTCCTTTTAAAAAATACATCAAATTTACTATCTCCATTTTTTCAATCACAAGATCTTCTGTAATCTTTTCTCTTGAATTTGAGTCATACACACTAAGAATAAACCGTAATGGTTCTGGTGCATCCTCTCCTCCAAATGAAATAGATTTAAGTCGAACAGCATGTAATTTAGGTAATTCTCTTGTTAATTCTTTTATTGGACGAATACCAGCAAGACTAATTGCAGGATCTTTGTATTGATATAATGGATTAAATAATTCAAATAATAATTCTGGACGTTCTTGTGAAACATTTCTTCTTCTAAGTAATGGAACTGGTAACCTTTGTGAAATAGTATTTTCAAATCTTTTTGAATTAAAATAATCATTTGGAATAATTCCATTCCATTGTTTATTACTATTTAACCATTTTGGTTGTTTGAATAAAACACGACAAACAAGATTATGATATTTATCAAGTGAACTTGATAGATCTTCACGTTTTATTTGAATCAAATGAGGCATTTTTTCATCACTCTCTTTAATTATTTGGAATTTTGAATAAAATTTTGAATAAGCTTTTAACAATGAACAAGGTTGTTGTAATTCATTTAAATCATTTTGACGATCTTTAATATATTTAAGAAATAATTCAAATTCACTCCTTTTAACACAATACGGTTTTGATAATGATGTCATTTCATTTAAACATTGTCGAATATCTTTTTCTAATAAATAAATTGGTTTCTTTTCAACTGATGATAACTCGAGATATTTTCTGATTTGATAAATATCAATCAAATCTCTTCCTTCAGTATCTAATGAATCAAATAATAAATTTGTTTCAACATTTTCCGTTGTTGGTTTTTTATTGGATAACCCTTTAATAATAAGAGGACTTTGATGTTTAATTGTTTCTGTTTGATTAATATCTTTTCCATCTGGTGTAATTTCTAATATTTCGGCTATTTTCAGTTGTAAATCTTCTTGATGGCCGTCCATCAATTTAGTGTTAACTGATTTGAAAGTTTTCATTCTAAAATCCAAGGAAAGAAAATGTTAAACGTTCAAATACAAAACAAAATAAAACCCAAATATTTCGATTTTATGTTTTGGAACACGAAAAGAGAAAACCGAAAAAACTATGTTTAATTAATATTTATATTATACTTTATTACATTAATTAAATCACCCTTTTTCTTTAAAAAAATATTTGTTATTCATCATTATTAAATTATTTTTTGTTATTAAAATAAAAAAAAAAAAAAAAAATAAATAAAGAGAACTTGAAAAAATAAAACTTAAAAAAGAATTATTTTGATAAAAAAATGGTTTGAAATAATAATTTCAAATATCTTGAAAAGATAAAAATAACAATTATTTACAAATAGAGTTTCTTTGGATTTGGAGGACCAACAATTAATGTTAATATTCAATTAGATGAAAATCATAGAAAAAAAACGATAGTTCAAACTGAAAACAAAGAGAAAATGTTTATCCCAATTTATACAGAAAAAGACACTGTTTTTGGAACGATAGAAATACGATGTGAAAATAAAAAATGTGAACATAATGGAATTAAAATGGAATTACTTGGAATAATTGGTTTGTAAAAAAGAAACAATTTAATTTAATTTAAAAAGAAAAAAAATGAAATTAAATTTTATTAGAAAATGATTCATCAAAAATACAAAAAGAATTTCTAAGAAATTGTATTGATATTTGTGGAACAAATACATTACCAGAAGGAATAACAACATATCCATTTACATTTGGAAAAATAGAAAAGAAATATAATAGTTATTATGGAACAATTGGAAGAATAAGATATATAATTAAATGTACAATTCAAAGATTTTCAAAAGTAGTTAAAGAAATAGAAATTGGAGTTATTAATAAATCACCTCATCGAATTAAAAAATCATTTGAAACAACATTAACAAGACCAATTTTAATGCATTTTGCAGTTGAGTCAATTACATATGAAGTGAATGACATTATTCATGGATTATTAAAAGTTGTTACTTCTAAAAATTATTCGTCAGATATTTTTACTTCAATTAATTTAGAATTAATGAAAAAAGAAATATTTTCAACTGAAAAAATAACTAAAGAGTTATCTAAAAAAATTATTGAAATTGAAGTATTAAAAGGAGTTCCAGAAAGTGATGAAATAATTCCATTTAATTTAATTTTACCAACTGAAAAATTAAGTCCTTCATTTAAAACTATTGAAGGATTTTCTCTTCAATATTTTTTAATTATTAATGTTCATTTAAAAGACACTTCTAATACTAAAACTGAAATTCCAATTAACATTCTTAAAGAAGAACAAACAAAAATACTTTTTGATGAAAAAATGAATGGAATGTTAGAATGGTTAGATGAAATGGATAAATTTGAAGAAATTATACCTCAAGACTTTGGAGAAACACCATTAATTAAACAATCAAATAATGTATTTAAAAATGTTGAAGAAATTGACTCAATTAATGATTTAAAAGAGGCAGAAGAAAAATTAAAAACAGATGCTTGTTTAATAAAAAAAGTAGAATTTGATTGGTAATTTCGAATTATTCAAAATTATTAAAACAAATAAAAAAAAAGAAAATTAAAATTGAAAATGAAAGTAAATAAATTAAAATGACAACAAAAGTTTTTTAATTTTTTTTTCAAAATAATTAATTTTGTTGAATAATTGAAGCATTCCATAATTGAGGATTTGATTTAAAATCTTTTTTCATTTCTTGTAAAGCAATTAAAATCATTCCAGATTTAGGTCTATTTTCTTGTTCTTTCATAACACATTGTCTAATTAAAGTTGCCATTTTTTGAGGAGTAGAAGGAGGGATAGTTGGTCTAAGATCACAAGTGGCAGATTGAATAATAATTTGAAGGTCCATAGTAAGTTCAGGGAATTCTTGAAAAGGTCTTTGATATTTTTGATAAATAACTCTATAAATTAATTCCCATAAAATAATTCCATAACTATAAACATCGGATTGAGTAGTATAACGTTGATTATAATAAACTTCAGGAGCACAATAAGCATAAGTACCTCTATCTTTTGTAGAAGTAGTTATTTCAGAATCAAAACGAGACAATCCAAAATCACAAATTTTTAAACGTTCTATTTCAATGTTATTTCCATTTTCTTGAATAGTTTCCATTGTTACTAAAATATTTAAAGATTTTAAATCTCTATGTAATATTTGTGGGGTTCTTGAATGAAGATAATCCATTCCTAATGCAATTTGTTCAGCATAATCAAAAACAGTTTCCCAAGTAATTGAATTTTCTTTTTTAGAAATAATATCATATAAACTTCCTTTAGAACAATATTCCATTACCATTGAAAATTGTTTTTTTACAATAACACCATAAAATCTAACAATATTTTCATGTTGTAATTTACTTAATACTCCATATTCTTGTTGAAATTCTTTAACTTCTTCCATATTTGTTGCTTTTAATGTTTTAACAGCAACAGTAACATTTTTATATTTTGCAGTATAAACAATTCCTGATGCACCTGATCCAATATTTGCAAGAAACTCTATTTCTTTTGGTTCAATTACAAATTTACCTTGTTCAATTAATTCAAGTAATTTTTTTCTTTCTTCTTGTTCATTTTCATTTTCTGTTATTTCTTTTACTTCAGGAACATTTGGTAATAATTTAAATTTTTGAATTAATGCAATACGTTCAACTGATGATAAAATTCCAATTTTTTCAAGAGTTTTTGGAGTTTGATTTCTTAATTTATATTTAAACATTTTATTTTTCACTAACATAGCAATTGCATTATCTGATGCTTTAATCTCAATGAGATAATCAATTAATTCTTTAAAATCATTTACTGTTTTAAAATATCTTTCTGATTTTGTTTTAGCTAACATAAATGGTGTTTGTCCATGATCATCTGGAAGATCTAATTTTGCTTTATGTTCTAATAAAATTGATAATAAATCTGTTCTTTCATTATGAATTGCATAATGTAATGCAGTTGATTGTCTATTTGTTGCAGCATTTACATCAACTCCTCTTTCTAATAATTTACTAACTAATAACATTCTAATTGAATTATTTCTAACAACTGTATGAAGTGCCGTTTCTAAATTTTTATTTTGTGCTTCTAAATTAACTCCATGTCTAAAAAATAATTCCATTGCTTCTTGACAATTTGGATTTGAAAAATTTTTACAAAAGAAATGAAATGGTGTATTTTTATCTAAATTTTCTTTATTTACATCAATAGTTGGTGCATTTTTTAATAATGCTAATATAATATGTTCATTATATGATTCATAACTAGCAATATGAAGTGCTGTATTTCCTTGTTCATCTTGTGCATTTACATCAACTTTTCCACTTTCAAGTAATGTTAATATTTTATATAAATCTGATCTTTCAACTGCACTATGTAATGGAAGTGTTTTATATGACTTTTCTGTTTTTGGATCAACTTCTGGAAATAAATATAATGAAACTGTAATTTTTGGTTTTGAAATTCTTTTCATTAATGGGTCTGGTTGAATAATACGATGACATTGATATTCTCTTGATATTTTTGTTGCTAATTTTGATGGACTCATTGTTTTTTTCATTGGTATCATTTTAATTGGAGTTGATGATGGTAATGGTGCTGAAATTGTTGTAAATTGTTGTGTTTTTTCTAGTCTTAATGATGTCATAGAATTAGTTATTGTTGGTTGTGAAATGTGTGTACTTGGAACTATTATATTTTCTGGTGAAATAATTCCAGTAACTGGTGTTGATATTTCTGAATGTAGTGATACTTTTTCTTCAATAGGTTCTAGTTCAAATGATTTGATATGGTTTGTGTTAAATGGAAGTAATTGATTAATATTTATTCTTTTTCCCCAATTTTTTGCTAATTTTCTTTTTTCATGATCATGAAACTCAAATATAATTTCTTTTGTTGATGGTGAAACATTTCTAAACTCAATTCTATTTTCTGGACTATGGAAATAATTATTTGTTGTTTTTCTACTAACTCTCATTTTTCCACTTTTATCTCCAACATTTACTGAAACCTAAAAGTTGATTTTTCTTCTTTTTTTTAATTTTTAATAACTTTTTTCTTTAACAAACATATGATTCTCCTGATGTCATTGCTACTGGAAATAAATTTTCACCTGAAATAACTACATTATTTAATTTTATTTTATTCTTTTTTTTTGATTATTCTTTTTTTTTATTAAACAAACTTTCAACACGAATAATACGATTAATAGGTCCTTTACCTTCTGTAAGACTTTTTCGTGTGATACTCATTAAAGTAAAACTCCTCTTTTTAAGTTTTTTTAATTATTTTCTTTAAAATTTCTTTTTTTTTTCTGATCTTTTAAAAAATTAAAAAAAAAATAACGAAAAATAATTCAATTGCTAACAAAATGTTTTTTTAAAGTGTGAACTTCTCTTGATCATATTGAATTCGTTGTTTTTGAACTTTTGAATGGTATAACTCTTTATTATTAGTAATATCTTTAAATGCCTCAGGTTGAGCAGGTGATAATGTGTTTGGTGTATTTAATAATTCTTGAATTCCCAATAATATTTGTTTAACTGAAATAGAAGGTCTCCAATCTTGTTCTTCATTTAAAATTGATAAACAAACCGTTCCTGATGGATAAATGTTTGGATGATAAAATCCTTTTGGAAATCTACATTTTGGTGGTCGTGTTGGATACTCTTCAGTAAATTCCATTGTAAGTGGATAAATTCCACCTTCCCATTCTGTTCCTTTTGCGCCAGGAATTCCACAGTCCCATGTTAATAGATCAGGTGTTCCTTCTTTTGTTGTTCTTGGTCTTGCTATAAATCCTGGTGGATGTTCTCTTCTCCATAACCTTCTTTCTTCAGTTAATCGTTGAATTGCTAATCCACTCATTATTTTGTTTAAATAATCTTATAAGATGTTGAGGGTTTTTCTTTTTCTATTTTTCTTTTTTATTCAAAACTTCTTTATGACGATGTCTACTTTATCATTTCTTTTGCTCATCATTTCAATTTATCTTATTTATCCTCATTATTGTTAATTATTTAAACTTTATTCTTCTTCATTTATTTAAAATAGTTATATGAAAATATAATTCTTATTTTACTCATACCTTTTTCACTTTAAAAACTCTTAAAATTTTCTATTCTTTAACAAATAATAGGAGTCAATTATTTGATTTTATTTCAAAAAAATAATTTAGTGACAATTAATTAATTTAAAATAATTTCAAATTAAATTATGAGAGTTAATTGAATATATTACGTCTAATTATTTTTGAACTGTTTTAATGAAATAAATTGTTTATTATTAATACATTTTTAAATGTTTATACATTATTAATACATAAAAATATATTTTTTGAAATTATTGAGTAGCTTTTATTCTGATGAAATAAATTCTTCATACAAATAACTTTAATTTTATTGTTGTAGTACATAACTGATAAAAGACTTATTTTCTTTTATATAATAACTTTTTTTAATAACAATGAGTATTATATTAGTTATAAGTTAATTTAAGTAAAGATATTATAATACATAATATTGATATTGATTATCATAAATTTGTGGTATTAATTAAGTTTTTTAATTGAAAAATGTATATTAAAAATCATTAATTTTAATTTATATATCATTAACTTATACTTTTTTTATGGAAAAAATATAAATAGAAATAGGGTTTAAAAAGATAAAAAAAAAGAAGAATTAAAAAAAAATATGATTAAACAAAAATGTTATTTAAAACAGTTTACAAGAGAAAGAACTTAAAAAAAAGGAGATTGAAGAAATGGAAGGAAGAAAAGTATCAAAAGAAATAGTTGAATTTTGTAATTTGATTGTTGGGACATGGAAATTAAATGAACGGACATTTAATTATCAGAAAGGATTTCCAGAGAAAGAAGCAAAAAATGTTATAATAGATGTTTGTAATTTACTCACTTAAAACAAAAGAAAAGAAGACTAAAAAATAACACAAAAAGATAGTTAATGTAGAAGTATTAACAAATGATTATCGTAGATTTTATAGATGGACAACATCAGATGATGCAGAAACAGTTAATAAACAAAATTATCCAACGATGGTAATGGAAGTATTTGGTAAAAATGAAGGAGATGATTCAGATTTTGAATTTCGATCAGATGGTTTGACTTAATTTTAAAAATTATTTAAAATAAAAATAAAAAAATTAAATTAAAAAAGATTATAGTGAAGTTGGAATTGGAAAAATTTGTGGGAAATGGATGACGATTATATTAGAATGTATAAAAAAAGATGAACGAATAACTAAAACATTACATTATAAATTAGAAGATAAAAACAGTTTGTAATAATTCATTAATAAAAAAAAAAGAAATAAAATTATAACAAATAGCAATGTTATATACATCAATTTGTGTTAATAATTATGGAAAAGATTCATTTATTGAACAAGGAGTATTAAATCGAATTTATTTAGATGATAATACTGATTTATTAAAACCAAAATAAAAAAATAATTTAAATCTTTCTTTTTTAAAATAAAATCAATCAATTCATTTTCTTTTTTAAATTTAATGGATCACTAATAATAATTCCTCCACCAGAAATATTAACTGAAGTTGTAGCACCTCCATTACTATTTCCAATTGTAGTTTGAATTCCTGTTCTAAATCCACTTAAACTAGTTTTAATTCCTTTTGTTTCTATTTTTTTATGTTTTAATATTCTTCTATTTTCTCCTTGTAATTGAGTTCCTTTAACTTCACCATAACCTACACCATTAATTTCTTGTTCTTGTTCTCCAAATTTCATTCTGTTCATATTTTTTCTTATTTCAGTCATTCCATACATTTCTCTTATTCTTCTTACTCTTCTTCCACCTCTATGACTTTTACGTTTCATTTGATCTGGTGGAACAATAGCCTTTTTCTTTTTTAAAGGAGGTGGTTGTAATAAATAATCAAATCGTTTCATAACATCTTCATATAATTTTTTTCCACAAGTTCCATCAATTGAACCAGTATCATTTCTACATGAATCTGCTCTTGCTGCCAATGTAACTTTTCCTGCTAAATAACGATTTGCTTTTTTTCTAACATCAGGGGGAAGTTTTTGAATTAATTCTGATTCATAAATAAATCCAGTATGTGGTGTATGATGACTACTTGAAAATCCACTTAAATTAATTTTTTTTTGTCCAAGAACTTCAATTATATTTGATGGTAATCTTGCTAATGAAGAAACACCACCTGCTGCACTAATTAATTTAGCTGCTATTTCACTTCCAATAATTGCAGTTAAATTTGGTGCAAGAAAAATAACTTGACTTTCAAGATATTCTACAATAATTTGTGAAATTTGTTGTAACTGAATTAATACATCACACTCTTTACTTATTTCATTCATTTCATTTTCTGTTATTTGACATTTATTTGAATTAGTTGATGCAGTGATAATTCCCATAATTATTGGTGGTGAAAGAAATGATGAAAGATCAATTTTTGTTAAATCCTTTTCTCTTTGAATAGTTTTTACTGTAAGACAATATTCAACTTTATTAGTAACAAGTTGTTCTAATTCTGGAAATTGTTTAGAGTAAATATCTTTAATATGATTATATAATATTTGTTCATCATTGGATAATTGTAATAACATTTCTGGTATTTGAATAACCAATTGATATTGTGGGTCTTCTTCGTTTATTTTTTTTATCTCGTTTTCTTGTTGTTCTCTATATTTCTCAATTTGTTGAATAATTTCATTCCATTGTTCTAATTTCATAATTTGTTCAATACTTTTTGGTTTAAGTTGTGTGTCTTCATTAAGTGTTTCTCCTATTTCTTCACTTCCTGAAAGAAAATCCTGTAAAAAGTCATCAACGATATTATTTGTATTTTCTTCCATTAATTAACAATTTAACAATTCATTAGTTCATTAAAAAAAAAAATAAAAATAAAAACAAATAAAAATAATTGTTATATGAAAAATAAAAGAGTAAAAAAAAATTTTAATGGAATAAGTAATCGGTTACACAAAGAAGGATGGTGTTGTTCTTGGTGGAACTGGTTTTTCTGATTCAGGAACAGCATCGAAAATGGTAAAATCTTGTTTTAAATCATTTCCAACTCTCATAATACAAGCAACATTACCACATCTACCACAATAATTTGGTGCTGACCATACAGTGACCAATTTATTATCAAAATGATACTTGTACCCTTCTTGTACTACTTGGTGGGCACGAGCAATTAAATCAATATTATTGATATGAATAAATTCTTCAACAGGTTTTGCACCAAAAATATATCCAGCACCTCTCATTGATGATTTCATTCCATCAACACTATCATCTGGATCTGACCACATTAAATCACAAAAGGCACCTTCATGTGGAATTTCTTGATTTCTTTTTACAACAACTCTAATATGATCAATGGTTCTAATTTCTGGTGAAAGACCTCCATGAACACAAAAAATTTTACCATCAATTAAAGCAGCAATATTTAAATAATCAAATACTTCAGTACACCACCTCCATGAATTAGCAGTTCCATATTTCTTAATACATTCATCATAAAAACCATAAACTTGAGTTACTTGTCTACTTTCATGATTACCTCTCATTAAAGCAATACGAGTAGGATACATTACTTTATATAACATTAATAAAGTAAATACTTCAATTGAATAACTTCCTCTATCGACATAATCTCCTAAAAATATATATGAATTTTCTGGTAATGTTCCTCCAATAGAAAATAACTTCATTAAGTCATAGAATTGTCCATGAATATCTCCACAAACAATAACTGGTGTTTGAATTGGTTGTACATTAGACTCTTCAATAAGAAGAGATTTAACAGCATTGCACAATTTTTTGAAATCATTTTCAGGAAGGTATTTACCACTTTTTACAATATCTAAGCATTTCTGATAGTCCATATCTTAAATATTTCTTTTTTAAGTTTTTTTTTCTTTTTGTTTTTCTTTTAGGGTTTTTTTTTTAATTTTTTCTGTCCTTTTTCGTTTTGTTCAGTCCCTTATTATCTATTAATATATTTAATTTTGTTATTTGTTATGACAATTTATTTTTAGAATGAAGTTTTTAAAAATTTATTTATAAAAACATTTTGATGTAACCAAAAAAAAAAAAATGAAAATAAAATTAAAATTTATGAATTGTATAAAGACTAAATGGGGTCTAAAGCCTTTTCAAAAATAGCATATGAGAGAAGAGCACTTCCAATAACGTAAAGAAGTGATAAAAATGTACCATAAATCATATAGTGTTTAACTTTATATCCTCCATCTTTCATTACCATTAAATTAGTTTGATATCCAAAAGGTAAAAAGAAGCAAGAATTAGCACAAATCATCATAGTAACCATTGCACTTCTTAAACCAATATCATTTCCTCTTGTTAATCCTGTTGGATCACTTCCAAGATAAGCAGACCAAACAACAGGAAACATAACAGCAATAGTAGCATTATTACTTAAAACTTGAGTTAAAACCATTGTAGGAATTCCAATTCCAAAAAGAATTCCAATTCTTCCCAATGGAGTTAATAATTTAATTAAAGTCATTGCAATTAAATATCCAGTATTAGTATTTTGCATTGCAGCAGATAAACCAAAAGAAGCACCTAAAGTACAAACTAAAGATACACTAACAGCATTATATACTTGTTTAACAGTTAAAACACCAGTTAATACTAAAGCAGCAACAGATAAAAATGAGAATTGAATAATTTTATAAAATCCACAAACATCTAATATAATTGGAATTAATAATGAAGTAATAGCAATCATTGCTTTCCATAAAGGATAATGATAAGGTAATTTAATAGGTAATTCGTATGCAATTCTAAAAGGACTTGGATAAATTTCAGAACGAGTAAATGAAGTTTCTGTAATAATAAGATAACTTGAATTAGAAGTAACAGGCATAAAGTATAATGGTTGTTCTTTTACTGCATTAAAATTTTTATCATCATTAGAAATACCTAAAATTCCAAATCTACAATCTTCAAAATATGTCGGGAAATTCCTTTGATTAAATTCCGAATTTTCAGTAAATGATATTTCATAAAGACTTAAGTTTTCTGTTGAAGTATGTTTTAATATATTACAAGCTGTTGGATCTTCAAATTTAATTCCTCTAATATTCATTAATTCAATTAATAATGATGGTTCACAAACATAAAATAATGTATCCCCAACTTGTAATTCACTATTTGGTTCAATTATTTTATTTCCTCTTAAAATTTGTGGAAGTGCAACACCAGATAATCTTCCTAAGTCTGTTTTCATAATTTCTTTACCAACTAATGGTGATCGTTCAACAACATTAATTGGAACAATAAATGTATGAAGTTGTTGTTTAACTTCTGTTTTAACATGTGATGGAAGTAAAAATTTATTTGAAAAAACAAGATAAATACATGCTATTAAAGCTAATGGAAATCCAACATATCCAACTTCAAATAGTGACATTACGTAATCAATATGAATTACTCCTTGTTTGTTTAACGCATTAATTGCTGAATCAATTAACCCTTTAGCAACCATATTTGGTGATGTTCCAATTAATGAACACATTCCACCTACACAAACAGCAATTTGCATTGGCATTAATAATTTAGATGCTGGAATTTTAGTAGTTTTAGATAATCCAAGAATAATAGAAATTCCCATTGCAACAATTGGTGTATTATTTAAAAATACACTTGCACATGCAAATAATGGAACAAATCGAATTGCAGTTGGCCAAATCCATTTTTGTTCTTTATTAGGAAGAATATAACTACATATTAAAGCAAGTCCACCAGTTCTATTAATTGCATCAGAAATAATACAAACACATAAAACAGTCATTGTTCCTGAATCTGAAAATCCTGAAAATGCTTGTGAAGTAGAAATAACCTTACAATATAATAAAACAGCAACGCCTGTCATTAAAACAATACCTGCGTGCCATATTTCTAATAATAATATAAACATCATAATAACAAATACAAATAAAAATATAGCTGTTTTAGCTGAAAACTGACCTGGATAATTATCTTTCCAATCACAACAGTACATAACAATAAATATAATACTTAATACTCCACTAAATCCAAGTGGTAAAAATAATTTCGAAAATCCTTTTTTAAAATAACTTTTAACCATTTGTTTTTTATCTATTAATTCTGTTGTTTCTTCTCCTGGACTTTTTCTTCTTGGAACTGGTGAATTTCCAAATGAAGCTGATAATAGTGCTGGATGAACTAACCTTCCAAAATCAATTGGTGAAGTATCATCACTTCTTTGAACTGAACCAACAACATCTTTTTCTGTAAACTTTAATTTTTCCATTTCAATTTTTTCTTCACTGTTTGATGCATTACTTGCCTGTGTTTTTGGAGCTGGTAAACTATCGTCTGATTCTGATCTTGAATCTTTTTCTTGTTGGCTTTGATATGACTCTAACTTTTCGTTTTGTCTTGAATGAATAGATTCATTTGTTTCATGAAGGGAAATAGAAAGATGATTTTCACTCATGAATTAGATTTGAATTATTCAACTTGGAATATCAGTTCTTCCAATTTTCAATTTCTAAGGAAAATTACATTTTTTGAATAATCAAAATGTCCATTTTATGCATCTTTTTAAATATAAAAAATACAATTCATTTGAAAAACTTGGATAGAAAAACAAATATCATTATATTCTGTTTTTTTTTTGTTTTACATAATTTTTATTTTAAATCTTTTTATAATCTTGAAAGTTAAAAATTAAAAGATGAAAGTTCAAATTGCTGAATTAATATATCAATTTTCAATTAAAAAAGTTCATGACATTATTACTCTTTGTGTTGGAATTACCTTTTTTTTATTTTCTCTTCACGTCACAGTTTTTCATGTTCAATATAATTCATTACCACATGTACAATCATTAACTACTATTGTGACTTGTTCATTTTTACAAGCAATAATTATTATATTATCTTCTTTAATTCAGATATTACATTCAACACATAATATTCCAACATCAATGCCATTTCATTATTTTATGTTATTTGTTAGGATGTTAATATCATTAACAAATAGTATCATTCTCATTGTTTCTCTTCATCAATTCAATAAAATTAATGACTCATCTCATCACCTTTCTTTGATTGAGTCTCAATATTCATGTTGTGGTTGGTTTTCAATCAATACAATGACTTGTAAATCATTAGCAGCAATTCGTGCTGATAGAACGTGTTCATCAACTATAGGAGTATCATTTCATAATGTTCTTTCAATTGCATTAGTATTAAATGTTATAGAAATTATAGTATCTCTTTCACATTCATTTATTTCATATATTTCACATAGATTTATGATCCAACAAGATGAAGAAACAGAAAATCCCGATGATATTATTTCAAACTATCTTACTATTAACCAAACTGATATAAATGAAGAAACAACTTTTTTAAATAATTTTTCTGATGAACAACTTCATACCAATAGATTATTATCAAGTTATAATACAACAGAATCAGACAATGATAATGACAATTCAAATTTGATTTAATTTATATTGATTAGTTCCCATTTTTCTTTTTAAATTTATCATTTTAACATTAAAAGTAATGAAGAAAATAATATTTAATTATTTTTATTATTATTTATCTTCTTCTTCTTCTTTTTTAATTTCTTCTTGTTTTTCTTCTTCCATTGGAGTTTCTTGTGATGGTTGATGACCAACACTATCAAGATCAAGATCAGTAATTAACTTCTCTAATGATTGTCTATTTTGTTCATTAACAAGTCGTTTAGCCCTTAAAAAATATGTATTTGGATGAGCAATATCTTGTATTTCATCATCAAATGGTTTATTTTGTGATAGATATAAGAATTTAGTACATGCGTGTGTTGGTTGATGAGAGATAATTAATTCTATAACATTTTGTAAAATTTCTTCTCTTTTAATTTCATCAATTCCTTTTAATTCCATTAAATTTAGAAGATTATCTTCAATGTCTTCTTGTTTAAATGATTTAGTAGTCATCATACATCCATTACAATCTCCAGGATTTCTAATTTGACTTATTAAGTTATTACATCCATATCCAGTGTAATCAATTTTAGCACCAGCTCTACCATATGAATGTTCAATATTATAAATTCTTTCTTTACTTAATGGTTCAATTTCTTCAAAAAATTTCTTACAATCTTCCATTGATAATCCAACACCTTTAAGAAACATTATAAGCTGTAATAATCCAAAATGTTTTAAGTGTTTATCATGGAGGAATTTACGATATATTGAATACATACATGGTGGGAATAATTCAATTCCACTCTCTTTAATAAATGATTTACTACATGTTTCAACATGAAATCCTGTTGTTGCTGTTTTAAACCCTGTAATTTTCATAACTAATGTTTGGTAATATTCTAATATGGGTTTTAATTCATAAGGAACTTTTCCTAATGCTGGTGAAACATAATTATTTTTAACACGTTCTTGTAATTTTTCTCTATTTTTCATAATTACCATATCAATTACTTCATTCTTTTCAATAAATGCACTTCCATGATATAATAATAATCTTCGATTTTTTAAATTCTTCCCAGCTTCAAAAAAAGGAACTTTGATAAATGGTCCGTGAAAGTAATTTTGTTGTTTTAAAAATCCTTCTTCATCGACAGTTATTTGTTGTGGATGATATCCAAATTTAACAAGAAATTGTGACAAAGCTTCTAATGAAAGAGTTTCAATTCGTGCAAGATATACTCTCATTTCACATAAAACAAACCAATTCTCAAGTTTTTTATTACAACGAACATTATTTTGAAAATCACAAAACGATGCAAAGAATAATGCATATGATACTTCATCATCCCATCGATTGTCTTCATTCACTTTAACTAATTCTGATAATTCTGGTGTGATTTTTTCTAAATCTGTTTCTTCGTTATACATCAATCTATATAAACTCCACCTTTTTTCTAATGCATCATATACATTACTCCAACTAATAGTTCCAACTGTTTGATAAACGGTTGTCATATTATCGTATGTCGGAATAATTTCTTTTTGTGGTTTAACACTTGCTGTAATAATTCTCCTTTTTATTGTTAACACATCATTTTTATTTCCTTTAATAACAGATGGGGGATTTAATTTAACACCATCAACCCTTCTTGTTCCTTTTATTTTGCTCATGACCTTCATGGAAGTACAATGAAATGTGATTTTTATTGATTTTGAACTAGAACTTAAAATTATATTATTAGGGAATGAATAAGAGAATTAGTCTTTTATTGTTATTTGTTACTCTCGTTTTATCTAGTCCTCTTCTTGATATGAAAATAAAAATTGAACAAAAGTATAAATTGATTGAAAATGCTGAAAGTCGATCAATTGACCAATCAGTAAAAACTACACAACTAGCAATTAAACGATCACAGAAGAGAATTGTTGCATTAAATAAGAAAATTGATAAAGTTAATGATGCTATTAAAAACATCACTAAATCTCTTACAGGAATTGAAGCAAATATTACATCTACAGGAGCTGCTGTTACTACAGCAGAAATGAAATATGAAAGTGCTAAGAAAGCAGGATCAAGTCAAGTAGAAGAATATGCTAAAGAACTTAATAAATTTAAACAAGCATGGAATGAGGCAAAGAAGAATAAAGAAAAGATTAATATTAGAAAAAGTGAGTTAGAAGCTAGAAGTAAACATTTAATAGCACAAGGAGAACAGATGAGAATGGGGATTCAAGAAATGAATAAGGCACTTCATACATTTGAGGCACAAAAAGTAGAATTAAAAACAAGATTAGAAGAAGAAAAAAGTGAAGAGATTCATCATAGAAGATTATACATTACTGCATTGGAAGAAAATAAAGAAAGGTCACAAGAAGCAAGAAAGATTGAAGGAAAATTAGGACAGTTAATTGGTAGTGAAAGAACTAAAGCACATCAAAGACTTCAAAGTATTAGAGAAATTACTGATAAAAATGAAAGAATTATTAAATTACAAAAAGAATTTATTTCAATTATTGTTGAAAAACAAAAGAATTTAAAAGGAATTTTAAGGAGAATGGAACAAGAAAATAAGAAACATGAAATAATGATTAAAAAAGAAGGAAGAAAAATGGATAGATTAAAAAAACAAAAGAAAGAATGGAAAACACAAAAGAATGGAGAAAAAAGAATTAATTTAATTAGAAGAGAAATGGATGAAATTGAAAATCGAATTGATATAGAAAATGATAGACATGGAAGTCAAGTTGATGAATTTGTTAGAAATATTATTTATTTTAGAATTGAAGCAATTAGAAAAGAAATTAAAGCATTAAAAGGGGAAAAAATTATATTAAAAAGATTTGGAAAAGAAATGAAAGGAAAAAGATGTTCTGTTTCAAGAAATGTAGCACAAGAAATTCAAGAAGAAATGAAAAAAGAACAAAATAAATTAAATGAAAGAATTCAAAAAGCTTCTAATAGAATTAAAGCAGTAAAAAGTCGAATTAAAACATTAAAAAAATATAAAATTCAATTAAGAAAAGGATTAAAGAAAATAATAATAAATAGAATTAAAGATGCTAGAAATATGTTAATAGTTCAAAAGAAAAAAGTTCAAGTAATAAAGAAAATTGTAAAGAAATTACTTCAAAAGAATGAAAAAGGAAAAGTTCAAGAAGAAACAGAACGTATGAAAACAAAATTAGAAAGAAATAATGAACGAATGAATACATTAAGAAAACTTAGAGATGAAGCAGAAAGAGATGGACGTGCAGTTAGAATGGAAGAATTTAGAGAAATGAGAGAAAAACAAAAAGATATTAAAAATAGTATTAGAGAACTTGAATTTAATAGAAAAGAAAGTAATAAACAAGAACAAAAAAATATTGCATTAATGGCACTTCAAGCAGGAAACTGTTATAAAAGAAGACATTTATGGAAAAAAATTAAAAAGATTCAAGAAATAAGAAAAGAAATAAGTAAAAGAATAGATAAATTATCAATAAAATATATTAAAATTACTCAAAATATTAAAAAAGAAGAAGAAAAAAGTATTCAAAAATTAAAAGAAGAAAATGAAAAACTTATAGAAAAGAAAAAGAATATTATTAAAATTATTAAAGAAAGTCAAATTAAATTAAAGAAACAAAATAATGAAAAAAGATATAGAGAAGAAATAGAAAAAATTAATGAATTAAAAGATGATATTAAAAGTATTAATGAAAGAATTATTAGTGTTAGATCAGAAATGAGAAGAAATAGTGCAGAATTATTATTAAGAAAATATAAAGAAAAATATTTAATTAAACATTCGTTATATAAAAATAGTAAAGATAAAATGAATGAAAGAAGAAGAGAAATTGCAGAAATTTCAGGAAAATTAATTATTGAAGAAAGTATTTATGAACAAACTGTTTTTGATAAAAGAAAACCAATTGAATTAAAAATTCAAGCATTAAAGAAATTAAAAGAACAAAAAGAAAAAGACATTAATAAATTAATCAATATTGTTAAAATTAATGAAGCTAAACAAATTAGAGAAGCAGAAAAAGTAGTTGAATTTTTAAAAGTTACTATTGAAGATACTGAAAAAGCTAAAAAAGAATATATGAAAATTGCTGGTAAAAAATCTACTCAATATAAAGCTCATTATGATAGACTTGCTCAAATAGCATCAAATGATATTTTAAATATGAAAAAAGAACTTCATAAGTATCAAGAAAAAATTGAAGAATTTAATAAGAAAATGGTTCAATTTAGAAGTGAAAAAAGTCCATGTAAAATGTGTGTTGAATTAGGAAGACGTGCTAAAGAAAGTTTAGCATTAAATATGGATAATGCAGAATTATTAAGAAATATTCAAGATAGATGCAAATATTTCACAGATGATGAAAGAGGAAAATGTTATTCATTAGCATTTAAAGTTGCAAAATATGCTGCTAATTTGTTTGATCCACATGAACTTAAAATAAAGAAAATGTGCGTTATGTTAAAGGGATGTAATACTCTTTAATTTACTTGTTTTGACAACTTCTTTATTATTTAATTTCTTTTTTTTTTGTTTTTTCATTCTTAAAAAGATATATCCTTCTTTTTTTTTAAAAAAAAAAAAGAACTAAATAAATTATTTCATGTTTTGGTCAATTATTGTACAACCTAAGAAAACAACTTCAATTGATACTAACCAAATGATTCATTTAACCAATGTTTGTATTTTTATAAAAGGAAAAATTGAAAACTCAACAAGAACAAATGTATTTGTTAATTCAAATAACAATAAAGTTTTAATAGCTACACTTATTCCTGGAGAAGTTGAACAACTTAAATTGGATATTGTTTTTAGTCAAGGAGAAATTATTTCTATTTCAAATGAAGGAAATTATCCACTTCATTTATCAGGTTATATTGTTGTTGATATGACAGAAGCAACAGCAGCTGGTATTGCTGAAATGGAAATTTCAAATGAAGATGATGACAATGGAATTGAAGTTGGTCTTGGAGAATCTAATGAAGGAGAAGAAGAAACTAATTTAGATCTTCATGCAATTAAAAATCTTAATCCAATTAATTCACCAACAATTACAGTCTCAAATTGGCTTGAAACTGAATTAGAAGATAATGATGCAGAAGAATTAGAATATCATCCTAATGACCCTATTGATTATGCACAAAAGGTAGAAGAAGAAAGTGGTGATAAAGAAAATATTGAAAATAACAAAAAACAAGAAATATTAGATGAAAAGAAGATAGAAGAAAAACAAGAAATAATCAAAGAAGAGGATGATGGACTACCTAAAATGGAATTTGTTGAAAAAAGTAGTACTAGTCTTTCAGAACAAATTAAAAAAATGAAAAAACCTAAAAAATTAATGGAGAGTAAACCAAAGAAAAGATTATCTAAAAAGAGAAAAGGAGGAAACAAGAAGTAGTTAATAAAATATATTGATTGATTTCATTTTCTTTTGTTTTATAATAAAACAGAAAAGAAGAACTTATAAATAAATAATTCATGTCGTTATTAGATTTAGATATACAACCAAATCAAAAACCTTTAAATGAAAATATTTTATCTGATTTATTAAATAACCAACAAAATAATGTAATACCTAATGGACCTTTATTTAATACTATTCCATTGACCCAACAATATGAAAATCAAATACAAGAAAATTCTCAAAAAGAACAAAAAGAACAAATAAAAATTGATCCTTTCATTTCATTAAAGAAGTTAACAAAAAGTAAATATTATCAAGAAGAATTTAAAGAAGTAGAGGTACTTAATGAAATAAATAATCAATCTACTGTTAAAATAAAACAAGAAAATCATCCAATTGGTTCATTTAATTTAAATAATCAACAATTAGATATTCAAGAAAGTCAAATGGTTGATGGATTAATGGAACAACAAGAAAAAATACTTGTTTCTAATGTTACAAATAGTGGTGGAATTAGAATTGTTCCATCAGAAAATGAATTAAAAGACTTTGAAAAAAAGATGATGGGAATGGACATAAATAAAATTGGTATTTCATTGATTGAAACTGTTAATATTGGAAAAGGAAAACAATGTACTGTTTGTTTTAAATTTTTTTAGAGATAGAATAAAAAAAGATAAATTAATTAATATGGGAATAGAAAGCGTTAGGATATTTAAAATATTTATTAACAAATAAAAAAGGATTTAAACAATTATGTCTTGAAAATCAACTTCCTGAAGTATTAAATCATGTTGACGTTTCATCATCTATTATCAATAATCTTAAATCATCAGTTGAAGAGATTCTTAATCAATAAATCATTTTTCTTAAAGATGACTATAAATAATCTTAGGTAATTGAAACCTTTTATTTCAATAAATTATTCTAATATTTGTTTATGATAAAAAATTGGGGAAAAGGGAAAAATTACAATAAATCTTCAAAAAAAAACTCTGAAGAAAAAATAGATTATTTAGAAAACTATTAGAAGAAGTATCAAAGAACTATAAAACTAAATACAGGAAAAGATCTTAGAAATAAAAACAGTTCAAAGGAAAAAGAAGATGAAAAGCGGTGATATAAAAAGATCCACATCTTAAAAAGATTAAAACACTGATATGTCAGCAGCAGACATTGTTAAAAACGAAAAAGATCCAAGCCTTGTTGCATATTTAAAATCACTTGGAATTGATCCAGATTATGTTCCACCAAAAGATGATCCAAGAAGAGTTGTTATTAGTGAGTTTGCAGTATTATTTAAAGAACATGATCCAGTTATTCTTAAATTAAATACTGAAGAAGATATGGAAAAGGCTAAAAAAACACCAATTATTATTAAAGAAGGAGCTGAATTCAAAATGCGTGTTACATTCCGTGTCCAACATCAACCAGTTCTTGGATTAAGAATTTTGAATACTGTTTCTAAACTTGGTAAACAAGTTGCATCTGATGAAGAAATGTTAGGTTCATATCCACCAAAGAATGAATTTAATGCATTAGAATTACCAAAGAATGATTGGAATGAAGCACCAACTGGAATGCTTGCTAGAGGTGAATATAAATCTAATGTTAAATTTTATGATGATGATAAAGTCACTCATCTTCAATTCGATTATTTGATCAAAATCGCCAAGGATTGGGATTAAGCTGTCTTTTTTCTAATTCAATTTTTACACTATTTAATTTTTTTATTTATTTAAATCAATAATTTTAATTATGATTTAAAATAAGAAGAAAGAATGTTTAAATTATGTTAAAGGTTGAATCGTTTTACTATTAATACTTAAAAATAACCATTGAGGTGATACAATCACACATTGTGGAGAAATTAAATGCACTATTTCTTTATCTGTTGAATTATTTGTTATGTAATGTGTTACTTTTGAGTTAAATGAAAATGATACATTTCCTCCATATGCAATAAAATATCGTTGTAATTCTGTTCGAATTTGTTGGTCAATATCTCTTCCAAAATAGATAGTAAAAGAAGAAAAAATATTAGGAAGTGATTTAATGATACGATCATTCACTTGTAAAATAGAAGTATCTTCAAAGCTAGTATCTCGAGTATCACCTCCATCTTCTAGTATTGTATTTCCTGAATTTTCATCATTTGGTGGTTTAATTAATGATTCATCAGGGAATAAATCTATTGTTCGTTTAGTTGATGGATTAGGAAGAAGAAGATCTGAAGAATTACGTTTAGTAGGTTTTCCTTCTTCATCTGGGATAATTAGCTCATTGTAATAAATACATTGACATAACCATTTTAATGAACGAGCACATCCTCTTTCTTCATATGTCTTTTTTGATGCACCTTTAAATTCTTCTGACAAAATAGCAAAATCAACATCTTTTTTGTTTGATATTTCACCGTCATTATCTTCAATTATTGCTCTTATTGGATCTCTTTGTTCTGTAGAAAATCCAAGTAATTTAAATGTTTTACCAGAAAATACACTTGTTCTTTTATCATTGATATCAGCAATATCAACACTAACTCTTTTCTTTAGATTTAATCCAGTTTCTTGCCATTCATCTTCTGCCATAATTTTTTTTTAAAATGTAAGTTCTAATTGAATTAAGTAATTGATTAATTGAATAACTTAAACAACTTTGAAAGATATTTAAGAAAACTAAAAAATTTATAAAATAACTAGAAAAGAAATATAAAACAAATATTATTATTATTAACAATACTTTAATGTATTATTTTATTATTTCTTTTTAATTGAATTTATTCTTCTTTCTCATTACTAAGTCATTGTTTTATTAATGATTTCTTTTATAATGTATTATTTTCAAAATAATAATTTTTATTGTAAATAAGTTCATCTTTTAATTTCTGATGTTATTCCCTATTTATTGCTATTGTTTTCTTTTAATCATCTTTTTCTTTATTTTATTAACTCCAAAATCAAAACATTTATCTTTTTAAATTTCTTTAATAACTAGTGGTTTATATAATTTATAGATGATAAAAAAGTATTTTCAATATCCTTTCTGATATTTATCAGATTTTTATAATTACTTGTTAATACAATTATTATTTTTTATCCTTTTTTTTATCATTTGTTTTGTTCTTTCTTATTGATATTCTTTTAATGTATCTTTAAAAAAGAAATATTATATTTATCTCTTTTATTATATTCTGTTTTTTTTCATTTTCCTTCTTTTTATTCTTCTGTTATTCATGTTATCTTTCATTAGTATTTATTTAATTCTTTCATTTTACCTCTTCATTCTTTTATTGTTTTTCAGGTTATTTATTTTATATTTTTATTTATTGATATTAAATATTAACATTTTGTTTTTTTATTTAATCAATTTTCATGTACTTATTCTAGTAATTTATACATTTTATTTAATCAGCTATTCTGGTTCTACAAGATTATACTCTATTTTCAGTTATTATTTAATAATCCATCATCTAGTTCTTTTTTTTCTATTGTATAGTGTTATTAGCATATTATTTTTATTTCATATCTTTAATGTTAAAGTGATATTTACAATTGTAGTAATTAACAAGACAAACACAAAATAGAGTATCAACAAATATTTATTTACTATTTTATTGGTAATAATTAATATTTTAATTGATTTCATTCAAAGTATTATTTATTTTTGTAATAATCAATACTAATAAAAGTAATTCAAATTCTTTAAAAGTAAAGCTATACTACTAAAATATAAGATATCCTTTGCATTAATATGGTAAAACAATCCCTAATGAAAAATTTGCATTTCATTATTTTCAATTAATTTTTATAAATCAACCAATAATACAAAATGAGTGAATTAGTTATAAAATAAACTAATTATAACCAAATAAATCCATAAATTTGTTTCTTTCTATATATAAATTTCATTAACTAGTTTTTTTTATTTCAATTCATCTGTATTTTTACAACTTCTTTACTATACCCCGTCTTCTTTATTAAAATACTGAATAAACAAAATAAGTTATTATATAGAGAGTATTAATAAACTTTTTAACACATCAATAATAAATAATACCAATTGTTAAAATTATTCAGTTTTTATTTATATCAAATTAAATAAATAATGCAAATGATATTAAGTCAATAATTATCAATGTTAATTTATTATATTATAATTAAGTTTTTTTGTTTCTTTCCTTTATTTAAATATTTATTTGTCATAAGTAGATATGAACATTTTAATAATGCTATATTCAATAAAAGTGAACAATTAGTTTTATTAGACAAAAATAACTATTAAAATTGAATGAAAATTAAATTGTAATACAGGTGATTAGATTTATTCATCATTGTAATTTTAAATTATTGTACAAATAATAAGGGTAAAGTATTAATAAAATAATATTATATTATAATTAACAAATAACTATTATTTAAAATAACATAATGAATATGAATGTTTCAAATAAAATAAAACAAGAAAGAAATATGAATATTTTTATATTCATCATTTCATTGATTGATAAATGAAATGTTCATATTCATTTATTGATTTTATTTTATATTCTTTTTTAGTTTTATATTTCAAATAAATAATAATGAATAAAAATCATTTCATTTCAATTACAATGAATCGTTTTGGTGTGAAACGTTCTGGAGTCTGTTTTCCACAAAGTGCATTTGATATTCCTTTATATTCGTATGAACATTGTTTACAATATGATTTTGTTTTATTACTTTCTTTAAAAACAGTAATATCATCAAATCCAAATGCAAACAAACAATTAAATGATTGATTCCATAAATAAAATGCATGTTGTGGATCTTTAATATCAAATTTCGTCATTTCTTGTATTCTTCCATTTGATTCTATTGAAAATAAAAATGATTTTGGATCATTTATCCAATTTTCAACTTTATCAATTTTCTTATTAACATATCCTCCAAATTTATTTCCATCTTCATCTTCAATAATAATTATTATATGTTCTTTGTTTATTATTCTTTGATTAAATACGGATGTACTCATATTCCAATTATCGTTATATGAATCAAATATTATATTGGATATTCTTCTTTCTGTCCATTCTTCTATTTGTTTAATTGTTTGTTTTGCTTTATCAATTAATATGTTGTTTGGTTTTTTGTCAGTTGGTAGTTTATGTTTTGTTTTATCAACTGGTATGTTATTTGGTGTTGATGTTGTTGTTCCCATTGTTATTTATTTTTAAGTTATTTTTTAATAACATTATTTATTTTATTGTTATATATCACATTTCATTAGTTTTGTTATTTCATTCTTTTATTTCTCTATTATATTCATTTTATTTCTATTTATTTAAATATAATCATTTATTTAATACTTATTATTTTATACTTATTTATTTTATCTTTTTATTTGATTATTTGTATATTTAATGATTAGATAAATGAAATAAATTATATTTAAATGGTGTAGTTTTGATAATACACTTAGTAAAAAGAAGTAATAGAGAATTTACATAATTAAAAATAGTTAAATTGAAATTGATTTTATATATTTTTATTATTTTCATTGATATTATCTATTCATATTCAATTAGAATTATTTATTATTTATTCTTATTGTGTTGATTATTATTTTTATTAATGTTATTATTATTATTATTGTTTTAATCATTTTTATTTATTTATTGAAATGAAGAATAAAATATCATAATCCATATCATCATTTATTAGATTTATTAATTATTTTATTTATTTTTTTATCATATCATTATTAATGAATTATTTATTTATTTCATTTGATTTATAAATAAAGTAATTATCATTTATATTTATTTATATTTTGTTTATGAATAAGTGTTAAATGTTATTTAAAAAAGAATAGATTACAACGGTCAAAATAATAATAATAAAATAATTTAATAAGTAAATTATAAAATAAGAAAATATTATATCATTTAAATTATCATAATAAATGAAAATGAAGTAATTGAAATAATTATATAAATAATTTAAAATTAAACAATTATAATTATATAAATGATATTTATAATATTCAATTAAATAAATATAAATAAATATAAATGATGAAATGATATTATAAATATTTAAATATTAAAAATAAATATTATTCATTAAAGATAATTAAATAAAATTTATTATATTATATTATTTATTATCATATTCATTTTATAATAATATAAATATGATAAATAATAGAATAATGATAAAACAATATAACCATATTTATTTTTCATTTATTATCTTCATTTAAATATTCATCAAAATATAAATAAATATTTCAACATTCTAATAATTATATAATGATATTTTCTACAATCATTATAAAATAATAATAAAAACATTAACAAGAATAATAAAATGAAATACATAAAATACATGATAATTCACAAATTATTAAAATAAATAAAGAAATATCAATTTTAAGATATGATAAATAAATGATTTAAAAATAAAAAGATAGAATAACAACAATAAACAAATAATTAAATGAAAATATTCAATATAAATATACAATTTATAAACAAATGATATGAATCTATATAAAAATATAAACAATAATAAATAAATAAATGATGAAATAATAAATATAATAATTTCATATAAATAATGAATAATAACAAGAAATTATATATAAAATGAAATAAACATAAATATAAATAACAATTCATTATAATATCAAATTTAAATAAATTAAAATAAATTAAATGAATAATTTAATAATAATATAAATAAAAATAATATTTAATATTATTTCATTTTTAAGATAAAAAGAAACATCTCCACAATAAAAAATAAATAATGATTTATTCTATTTAAATTTAAATAATATCTATTATAACTCATAAATATACATATTATTCATATGAATTTAATTATTTTTAAATAATAATTTATATAAATGTTTTTTTTCAAGAATAGTTGTAAAACAT